TCTTCTGTGCCTCTTGATTAACAGCTAATGTTACACACAAATAAGGCAATTGAAGGATCTACTTTGGTCTAAAAGATTTGGTCTAGACAGAAGAAACCTGTAGGTACAGACCATGGAACACTGGTTGTTTTTGCCACTCACTCGCTATTATGGGTTAATTAACTGTGACTCTGTATCACCTCCAACCTTCACCCTTCCTCTTAACCCTGTATTAAACCTCTAGCAAAAGGTGCAATGAGACAGGACCAAATACATCTCAGTAAAAGTTCTCTAACTGAAACCATATTTTACAGATAATCTCTAATTGTCCTTGAAATTCTTTTCTCCCTTCTTGCTACCATTTCTCATCATCTGCAACAAAATTTCAACTTATGAAGGTCCAATAAACTGGTAAGATGGAGAAACTTGGGCCAAATAATTTCTATTTGCTTTCCTCTTGATCTGATTAAATTTAGTTTTGATTGATAGGGAATAAAATGAAGAGAGAATGTGGCATCCTGTGATGACTTAAAGGATGAAACTTCATGTAGAAATGATGTTTCTAAGAGTATTTGTGGCACCTGTTTCTTCCTCTCCTCTAACATTGTGATAGCTGAATTCTGAAAAGGCATCTTAGCAGGAAAAAGAGGTATCTGAGATGTCCAGTCTTCAAAGCATGCAATTTTTGGGGAGATGGGAGAGGGAGAAATAAGGCCTGGTGACCCTATAAATATATCATAGAACTGAGGAAAGAAACTTGTGTAATTACAGCTTTCTAGCATGCAGGATGAGGTGGATATTTTAGGCATGGCTTGCCAGAGGGCAGTATTGCTTAGAGAAAAGACCTGGGTGCTGCGGGAAAGGTTGTTTGCTTCAAATGCCTTTTGCTTCAGGTACATCAGATTACTTCAGTAAATTGTTATCTTTATCAGGAAGAGGAGCAGGGGGAGAACAGAAAGCCGAGGAAGCCATTCAGATCTCAGGCAAAACACAAGAAGTGAATTATTATAGTAGGTGTGTGTCTATGCTTGCCCAGGACCTGGTAAATCTTCCCTTCATCTCCAGCATTTTAAATGTTCTCTCAGGATCTGAGATTCAAGTCTGCTCCTCAGCTACTGAACTGCATCTGCATTCTGCTACCCTGCAACTGAGTAACAAGGGAGAGACTTTTGCAGAAAGCAAGGCCTATAAACAGACTTTTTTGGGCTTCCCAGACCAGTGCCAGCAAACTTGCATGCCACTATCACAGCTGAGGAGTTTCTGACCTATCTGATGAAGGAGGACTGTGTAAAAGCTGCTCTCATGGCTTATTTTCTGTGCAGAGAGGCTTTTTTGCATGCATCACAGTGGCTGTGAGCAGACTTTAAATCATCCTTCAGAGACACTGAGGCAGCATTAGCCAGTCAGCAATTTTCCAGCACTTCTATGGAGCACGAAATCTATTTCCAGGTAGAAGTGAACGTTGCCTGGCTTCCAGAGCGTCTCTATGGTATGGACGCCTAATACTGGCGTATTGCTTTGGAAATGAGACATTCCATGGCCTTTGCTATGGGATTGCTTTGCAGTACAATTAAAATGCAGAGCAGCAGAGTTGAATTTTCTATTTCTGTCCACATTGGGCATTTGATATTTCTGAGGTTGAGGAGGTGGGAAGCATCAGGCTGAGTTCTGAAGCAGCAAAGACAGGTCTTTGGGCAAATGCTGCCTGCATCTTCATGGGACAGGTCAGCTTTCCTTCTGGGTATTCCTGCACCCTTTTAATCAAGGGTTAGGCACAGTTACTATCTGTCCCCAGCCTTTGGCATGGGACTGAGGGTGGGGGAAGCTTCCCTTTGGAGCTTGTGCGTTTGTTGTTTCAGAGCTGCTGGCTGAGATACAAGGGTCTGCAGGAGCTCTGTCTGTCAAAAGGCTGGAAATGGAACAAACTATTTATTTGAAGAAAGAGCTTTCTTCGTGGTTTAAATGTTCTGGATGCAGGTGGGTGGTCTTCCTAGCATTTTCAGGACCTCCTAAAGGCATACTTCTGTGCTACAGGGGCAGGAACCTTTCCTATTTGTATGGACTGCAGTCTGCAGCTCTTGGCTTCCCAGCTTGCACTGGACCTTGCTGTGGCTGGACAAGTATTTGGTGTTGTCACCTGGCCTAAATGGCTTGTCAGGGCTCAGAATAACTGATAGAAGGGGGACTTGGCAGAAGCCTGGGGCTCTCTGGGATGCTTCTACCACTCAGGATCTCCAGCAACTTTTTATTTTACACAGGTGCTGAAGTGTTTGAAGGACCAAGATGTCACCACCTCATTAACCTCTGAGCCCTTAATTCTCAACTTGCTGGTAGCCACAAAATGGTTGTAAGGACTTGCAAAGCTATAGGGATGGCTGGGTAACAGCTGCAGCTCTAGTTCTAGTTCTTTTTAGGTGGTGGCATTAGCTAATGAAAGTTTTGAGGGAGATGTGCACATATGAAGCAATACAGGCTTAAGAGCAAAATAGTGTAGGGAAAGAACTGTGTAATATTGATGCATAAAAATAGCCCTTGTCTTGTAAAAGACACTTGTAAAAAACACTGAGGCTTCTTTCTATGTGATTCTTCTATATTCAACCTGAGCTGTTGCATTGTCTTTGCTAAGTTGATGACAGTCTGTGAAATCCCTACTGAAGCTTACCGTGCAGGCACAAATGGGAGAGAGACAATATGGTTTTAAATGTTACTTAAGGGGAGGAAGCCTAACAAAGCCAACAACAAATGTCCACCACCAGGGCAGCTTGTTACAAGTTTTTACCTGTTTTAATGATTTTTCATGGAGAAGCTTAGGCTGAGTGCAAGAGAGGGAGTTTCTTTAACTTCTGTTATGCCTCAGCCGCACACTGCTAGTAAAACAAATATTTCAGTGGGGTTTATGATGTTTCAGTGGCATGAATCCTGTCACTGTAGGTGCATTAAACTTTGACTCACCTACGTGCATCTAAATACTTGTTTACAGAGAATTTAGATGCTGTGTTCTCTGAAGCTGACTGAACTATTCTTACAGGTACTTACCAATGCTTGCACTGGTTTGAGGCTTAATTTACATAATGGCTTCTGAGAGAGGAGAAAAAAGGCTTTTTCTCAAGTACCATGACTGTGAGGAAGGCAGAGGAGTTTAATGGTGTCTCAGGAGCTGCCATGCCATTTTAAGTACCTAAAAAATGAACAAGTGTTTTACAGCAGTTACATGGGTGAAAGGGCTTCTCTGGGAGACTTCAATATTGTTCTTTTCTTCTAGTTCCTCACTTGGACATTGAAGACATGAAAACAAAGGCAGAGCTTGTTTTTGTCAAAACTGATGTCAGTGAGATGTTTGAAAGTAAGTTTTGTACTGTTTCAGGATGAAATCAGTACTATGTTAGATTGTGTCTTTATTAAGGATCATCGAGCTGATCAGGGATTCTTCAGAACCCTGATTAAACACTCTTCCAGAGGACAAAAATCTTCTTTTGGAGTCCAAGCCCAAACATCATGGGTAACACCTGATTTTACAGCTAGTTTATGCCCACTGTGATTTGCCTTCAGAGAAATAAGATTAGTCTACTTTCATTAGCACTTGGCCTCTCACATCTTAAAAATCTTTAGTAGTTTCTTTAAGTCTTCAGATTTGATATACAGTCAGGAAAATTCTTAAAGTATAGTAGAATATAAGTAATGTAGCTATCTGATGAGTGAAATTACATGTGAAATATATACAAACATTCAAATATCCTTTTAAAAACTAGTCCATTCTATGGAATAAAGCACCAACATCTGAATTCTGGTAAGACCATATAATAGCCTTCATATGAATTCAATATGAGTTTCTTAAGCTTTTCATCTTTAGCCCACTACAAAAATAAGGGGTTTTTTGGGGGGGATTGTTTTTTGTTTTTTTAATAAGGAGATAACTACTACCTCTGTCTTGGATTGCCCAACATTAAAGCATGTAGGTTGTGTGTCAATTTTTTTACACTTTTTCTATTTAGTTTTGACTGTTTTCATGGTTGTGGGTTTTGTGGAGGTGGAAAGGGATCGAGTTTTCCTGTGAAATTTGAACAAACATTTTGGTTGTCTTGGAGAGCAGATTTATAAAAAATATCTGCCTACTTCTTATAGCTTCAGGGGGAAAAAACCCTCAGTGTTGCCATGACTTGGAAGGACTTAGTCAAGGCCAGTCATAACCTGCAGTGTGAAATATTTTTCTCATATAGACGAATCCTGTTTGGTCTGTAGAATTTATTTGCTTAGACATCTTCTTTAACAAGTGCTGGTTCTGTTGAGTGCAATTGAGCTGCATTGCCCAGTTAAGAAATAATCTTGGTTTTTTGGGCTTCTGTGGAATTAACCTCTGAATTGAGGAGAAAAAAAAAATCTTTTGCTCTTTCAGTGCCTTCATTACTTTTATCTTAACAGTATGGGTGGGAAAAGCATTTCCCTTTGCAGCTTCACAGAAGAGGAAAAGGGAATGACACAGGGTGAATGGGAGGCATTAAGACAAATGAGGATGTGGCAGCAGTTTGCTGTAGAAAAAAACTGTAATGTATCCACAGGAAAGAAAAAAGTCGTGTGTGCAGGTCTGATTAGATGGCAACATGCTGCAGTTAGAGGAGACCAGAGCTTCACAGGCAATCTTGTTTCTGTATGAATTCAGCCTCTGAGTCTGGCTCAGGCTATTCTCAGTCTCTGTGAGTAACCACCTCTAGGCAACACACCTGCAGTCCTTTGATAAGGCCTCTGTCTCTGTGGCGCTGCATGCTGTGAAATGGTGTACTCATGCTTTAAAGCATGGGAGACCTAATCAGGGCAGGAGCAGAAGTCAAGACCACAGTACAGTGACTAGAAGCAGTGGTTCAATCTTCTGTCAGGCTCTTCAGAGGTTTTTAGACTGGGCTGTTTGACTGGGTTAAAGTTCCCCCATAGTGAGTCCAATTGCAGAACTGAACCCAGACTGAACTATTGCGAGAAATACTTTTAAAAACATAACTGTTAGGCTTTTTTCTTTTCTTTTCCCCCAGTTCCTTTAAAAAAGTACTTCAAACCCCAAAGAAAGAGGAGGAGAATCTTGGAGAACCCCCAGCCTAGGAGAAGACATCTTTGGCTTTATAGGATGAAGGTGATAAAACGGGAACTGTGCAGGAGCTGGGTTCAAGAGATGGTTCAGGTAGATGGAAGTCCAGAGGGAGCTCAGCCTCAAGAGATGGTTCAGGAACCTGTTCAGGTGGATGAAAGCCCAGAAGGAACTCAGCAAATCTCACCAGTACAGCAGGAGCAAGAAGACCATTCCTCAGCAGCACAGCTACCGCCCTCTGCTCAAGAGCCTCAGGGAGGGAATGACATCCATGTGCGCCCACAGAGGCAGCCAGGGCAAGGAGGCACGGCCCCAAACATGGGACCACAACCAACAGAGTCAGGCTGGGAGCTCCCAAAAGTGACTGTCAAGGTGCAGCCCCACAACATGAGCCAGGGGTGGGACTGCCCGGAGGTGACAGTGCAGGTGCAGCCTCAGAGGCCAAGCCCAGGATGGGAAGCCCCATCAGTGACTGTGCAGGTGCAGTTCCAGCAGCAGGGCCCAGGGCCATCTCTCCCACAAGTAACTGTACAGCTACAGCCCCAGGAGTGGGGACAAGGCGCTGCTGGCATCAAGGTCACTGTGCAACTGCAGTTGGGCTGTGACCCAGAAGAGGTAATCTCCCTCCAGAACCAGCGTGAGGAAGTGTTAGATAATGGAGAACAGAGGACCCTCCCAAAAAATCAGGGAGGGATGATGACAAGATCTGAAGGTGAGACAGAGCTTGCTGTGGTGGAGCTGGTGCCACAGGGGGTTCTGAGCCAAAAACAGGATGAAGGAGAAGTGGAAAAACCCCAGCAGGACCAGTGCCAAGAGGAAAGAGCAGAAGTGGTGAAGGTGCATGACATGCAGGCTGGAGACAAAGCAGACCTGAATGGGATGGTGACAGAGGAACAGCTGCAGGACCAGAGCCAAGAGCAGGAACAGCTAAAAGCAGACCAGCCTCTGCAAAAGGAAGACCAAAGACATACTGTGATGAGACAGGAGCAAGGTAATATCCAAGAAGGGCCCAGGGAGATTGTAGAAGACCAGAAGGAAGACCTAGCACGAGAACAGTCCAAGAAACGTCCAAGAAAGTCTCCAAATTATTTTGTTGCTATTCCAATAACAGATGATCAGGTACTTTAAATTAGCTGTTTTATTAAAAAACTTAACTTTAAACTTAGGCTTAATTTCCTGTCTTAATCTCAAGGGTGCTTAACAAGCCAAGAGTGATCAAATTCTGCCTGCTTACCACAAGTGGTTTGTTGGGTCTGGGATGGAGTTAAAGTCCTCATAGCAACCCCTATGTACTGTACTTTGTTTTTGTAGGTAGAGCTGTGTTTATACACATCCATGTTTCATTTACTGCTAGGAAAGAAAAAAAATAAATATCACTTCCATGATTGTCACTGCCCTTTCTATAGGGTCTGAGGTGGTGTCTCTCATCACTAGTATTTTCTATTCTGTAATCTTTTTTCAAAAAAAAACCCTGGCTTTCATCATCATGTGTTGTCCCATCTTACATTTTCTTAGGGTTGTATTTAGTGCAAGGATATTGATTTGTTTGTTTTCATAGTCTTTTCCACCAAAGTTCACAGTGGAGAATGAGAATTTCCTTCTCTTTTGCAGAAGATTATAGAGAATTGATCTGTTTTTTCTTCTCCATCTTTTATCCAATAAACTTGCCCTGAGATCCTAGATAGATGGTTAATTTCAAGAATCCATGAATGCAGTCTCTATGCTCATACTTCAAGGTGTGCTGTATTCTGTGACTCCCATGTTTAAGTAGTGTTAGAAAAAGCAACAGATCATTTCACCTCCATAATGTTAAATCAAAGCACAGCAAATAGTGGAAATACAAACAGACATATTCTCTTCTAGAGGCTTTGTGGGAGACCTAAAGTGTTCCAGTTACCACAGTAAATGCTGCTTCTGAAATAAGTCATACAGTCCTGCTGGGCTTGGCTGCTACAAGCCCTGTCTTATGATCCATGGAAGTAAATTCCAAAAATGATACAATAGCTAGAGAGAGAGATTTCACAATTTATTTACTAGTTAGGGACTTCAAATGAATCTTAGATAACTTCTGCACAACTCCTTGTACTTGTAAAGAAAGTGGGAAGATACTGGCTCACCTTGAACTACTTATTCCCATTCTGCTTCTATGAATTTTAAGGCTCATTCCAAGCTTTGTGAAAAAAGACTATGGAATGTCTCGTTTCCAAAGGACCACTGCAAAGCCTTTATGGACAGATTTTTTTTAACCTTTAGCCTTTCACAGACCACTGTTACCTGCAGATGACAATGGGGTTTTTTTGCAGCTGCTCAAGGTAAGCAAAAGCAGAGACAGCTCTCACTTTGTCCCCATATCTGCTGTTATCCCAAGGGAGCTTGGATGGGATTATGTTCCAGCATTGTGGAACAGCAGCATTGTGAGGTGGGACGTGCCCCATGGCCTTTATGTAGTGGCAGCAGATGACTGTGCACTCAAATACTTTATGAAGAGAAAGAGAAGCCTTGAAATGCCAAGACAATGAGCAGGCTATTCCACCTGAGGGAGACAGGCAGGGGAAAAATCTTAATTTGAATCAGAAAATTCTGTGCTCAGCTAGCATTGGCAGAATGGAGAAACAGGATATAAAATCTGTAAATTATTAATATTTTTATTATATGTATGTATCTTGGCATCTTTTCCTATAAAAATTTTCAGACAAGTTAATATTCAGGTTTTGTGTTTTACAGAGTGAAAATAGACCATTCTACTATCAGCGTCCTCTACTAGTTTGTGGTGTGTTTCCCAATGAACAAAATAGATATTTTTTTGTTGCAGTATATAACTTAGTTCCTTTTTTTTTCTCCTAGCTTAAGCTTTCATGCAGTATCTGGCATGACTATTTATGCTGCTGAAAGGCAATAATTAAGTAAGAATGATGTATCTGTTGCACAGAATTGTTCCTTTTTTTTCTCCAGTGTGACAAGCAGTTGCAGCACAGTAGCTTGCTCTGGCAGGTTTCTGAGTTTTTGTTTTTCCCTAAGTTAAGTGTAAAAACACTTATGCATGTGTTATAGGGAGGCGTCAAAGGTGCCTTCCTCTTGGTAGGCAATTATTTGCTCTGGCTTTATCTTGGGCAGAAAATGATCTTTGAAGGTTATCTGGAGGATGGCCTCATATAACTTTTGTGATTCCTACATATGACTGGCTTTTGAAATGTGAACAAAAGTGCAGAGCACATCAGGAAGATAAATGCCAGGAAGGGAAAATGACTGTGTAAGCTGAAGACAATGCTGGCAGATGAACAAATGGGTATGAAGTGGGCAAAGAATAAATCTAAGCTAGAAACTGGAAACTTTCCTGCTATCTGAGGAATGAGATCATGGAACAGCTTGAAGGGTCATGAATGCTTAACTTATTCTGCTATTTTAATGAGATTTGAGTGTCTTAATACATGGCCTGGGACCATGTCCTGTGGAGCCCAATGAATGTCTTTCACTTCTTTTTTCCTTATCTTTTCTCTCTCTTTTTCCTTTTTTTTTCCTTTTCTTTTTCAAATTCTGCTCTTACATGTTTCCCCGCATTCACATGAGCTCTGGTAATCTGGCAGCTCTGGCATCCCTGTTTGGAGGCTCTGCCCAAGATATTCCTAGTTTGTGTTCCTCTGAAGTGCTACCCTTAAGGGTGTCAGTGACCTGACTCTGTCCTGTGTGAGGCCTTGAAAGAAGCACTGAAGAGTGCAGCACTGTAAAGTTGACATATGTACATAGTGTGGGGAAAGAAATTATAGAATGGTTTGAGTTGGAAGGGATCTTAAAGGTCATCTAGTTTCAACCCCCCTGCCATAGGCAAAGACACCTTTGACTAGACCAAGTTGCTCAGAGCTCCATTCAACCTGTCTGTGAGAATTTCCAGGAATGGGGTATCTACAACCTCTGGGCAACCTGTTCCAGTACCTTACCACCCTCACAATCAATATTTCTTTCCTAATAGCTCATCTAAACCTGCTCTCTTCCAGTTTGAATCTCCTTTTTCCTTGTCCTGTCACTCCATGCTTTTGTAAGAAGTCCCTCTCTATCTGTCTTTTGGTCTTGCTTCAGCTCCTGAAAGGCAGCAATTAGGTTACTCTGAAGCACTTCCTTTTCCAGGAGGAACAGAACAGAAACAAACAGAATTGTCTCAGCCTTTCCTCAGAGGTGAGGTGCTCTATACATCTAGTAATCTTGGTGTAACTCCTCTGGACTCATCCCAACAAGCCTTTTCTGTGCTGGGGCCCCCAGATCTCGATGCAGCACCACAGGTGGGGTCTCACCAAATGGAGTGGAGGGGTGGCATCACCTCCCTCGACCTGCTGGCCAAATGTGTGTGTATATACACAACATATGTACGTGCACATGTAATAGTGTTTTGAAAATTTTAGATGCTCTTACCTCTAAAGCAGAGGTTCCTGACCTCACTGACCATACAATTTGGTTGTCTGCTGCTCTGTAGACCTTGCCTATTACAGAAGGGTTTTAAAGATGTTAGTGTTTGGAAATAATTATTTTGCCTTAATTATTTAAGAGAGCTCTACAAGTGGCAGGACTTAGGGCTGTCAACATATTTCTCCTTTTCAAGAGTAGAAAGGGAAAGCCTTGTTCCAGTCCTGGTGGAGGCACTGCTCTTTTTCCTTTGTGTCTGAGCAGGGCTCCGGGAGGCTGGACACCAGGCTTGTACTGGATTGAATCTAAGAATGTTATCATCTCAGGCTTTCAGTACTCCATTTTAAGTGCTTCCTTCCTGCTCTGCACTTCCCAAAAACCCCCCAGCTATCCCAACAATTATACAGCATTTATAGAAAAGTGCTAAAGATTGATGCACCAAAAAATAAAAAAAGTGTAGTGATAGGGTAGACTGTTCCTATAGGAGTAGGAGCAGGAAGTTGTGAAGAATCATATGTGAAGATAAGAGATAAGACATTAACACTGCTCTGTAATAGTTAAATATCTGTGTGAGAGAATTTCACTCAAATTCAGCTTCCCAGATGCCTGAGCCTCAAACTGAAATGCAAAAGGATCTTCTTTGTTATTTGAAGTATGTTCTTGGAAAGACTGGGGAAGGGAGAACAACAGGAGGCTCTTTTGTAGAATTACTGTTAATACTTAGCCTAGTCTGTTGAGGCAAAGGTTGTAGTTTGTGTGGTCAGACAGCTTGATGGCTTGATTCCTGCTCAATGTTTTCACAATCTAAACATATGCTGTAAATAGCAGGCTGCAATAAATTGTGCTTCAGTTGCAGTAGGAATTAACTTAATGTACAGTCAGTGAAAAATGTACTTTAAGAGTTGGTGAATTCAGGGAGTTTGTATCTTCAAATGGTTATTTTGATTGTGTGTGGCTTTTATCTTCATGTTTATTGGGAACTTTTTATGCTAATCTCCTCTGATGTGCAGGTTGTGGGACTATTTACTGGGCTGCACAATGGCTGCTAGGCTTTATGGAGAAAGATTGCAAAACAAAAGCATATTGACCCAGCTCTTTCGATCTGTGTAAGGATAAAGGGCAGCTCTAACATGTGTGAGCACCTAGGCATGTAAGGCAGAGTTTTCTCACTGAAATAACCTGAAAAATCTATAAATGATTTCTTTGTAACTTGGGATTCCACCAGATACATACTTAGTACCTGCATGAATTAATTATTCTCTCTCCTGCCTGTTCCCATGGCTGGCTTATAAACTTCAACAGCACATATTGAAAATAGAAAAATCTTTGGAGTCAATTGTGTAAAGGCACAGATAGATCCACAAGAGCCAGAAATTGGCCACAGTTCTGAGAAACACTGGCTCAGAAAACAGCAGGTTTACCCAGTCTTTTCTTACTTTGTTTGCTGTTACATTTTTCTTTTGGAAAGAGATATCAGTTTAATCTGTGATCAAACTTGTAATCAGAAATGGCATAAGATTAATTATGGAAATGCCATTTAATTTCCACAGTCTATTAACAACTGACAACTGCATGAAGATCCCATTAATATTTACACAGTGCTGTGAGTTTTATCTAACATACTTAGGGTCAGATTCACACCTACTTTAAGATCTAGGGCTTCTGGTTCACAGGAGAGCTATGAATTTAGCCTGTAGGCTTTTAAAAAGGAAAATAGATAAATCAATTCCTGGAAAATCAAGTATGAAACTGAAAGTTGCTGCATGATAAATCTGGGATGGGGAGGAGAGGAAGGTGGCTTTGTGGGTTCCTGGCTTAAACACTGAGTTGCATTTCTGGTTGTATAAAGCTTTGGTGTTCTGAATTTTTTCAGTAATGTGTAGGCATTTCAAAATGAAAATTTATTTCTTTCTCCTGTTTACTCTACTGCAGATTTTGGACAGAATTGAAGATGTTCAAGAACTCATATTTTCTAAAGAGCCTGACCTGTCAAGAGCTCTTCTGCCTGTTCAAACTATGCACCTTACTATAATAGTAGCTCATCTGGGAACAGAAGAAGAAGTGAAAAAGTAAGAATCCTGCCAAATTCAAGAGCAGCTAATTTTTCTGTAGATGTGGTAACCTTACTGCTGCTATTGTGAATCATTATGTTTTATTAGAGCCTACACACAATTCCTCTTAAACTTTTTTTATCAGTCTCTGGCTTGCTTTCAGTACCTGTGGGGAAAGATCTTTACAAAAGCTAGCTGTGCTGCATCAGAGATTGAAATTTTCTTATCTGCCACGGGGTGAAGAGAAAAAGGAGTGTGGCTGTAAATAGTATTACTGCTTTCATACTGTGTTACTACCACAAATTAGCTCAACAGATGTAAGCTTCCCTGAGCTGCTGTCTTTTGAGAAACCATAGCTTTTCAACTCAGCCATACTTTTATCAGCTGGAAAATGTTAGCTGTGAAGATACATTGCATTAAGAAGAAAACAACAACAACAACAAAAAAATCTGCCTAGTTCCTTCCCAAGCTACTCTCTTGTTGAATTCGAGCAGTGAGCTGTCACTGGGGCCCTGTGAATTAAGATGGAGCTATTGACAGATGACTGAGGAAACCTTACCCTGTGGTCAGGAAGGCTAGAATTGAAAGAAAGGTCCAGAAAATAATGCCAGTCTGTTGCAGTTTTTTCCCTAAGCCTTATCTTACTGTACCACACTGGGAAACCTGGAACTCCTTGACATAAGGAGGCAGAAAGGAAAGGCTCTTATGTGCCTGGGAAGACATTATGTGGTAGAGGTGGGAACCTGGTGATAACAGCCCTTTCTCCAGGGGCCCTGGCACCTATCAGCACGGGAATAAAAAACATGCCTCAACACCATATGAGTGTCACACAGGATCTGCTGGGGTGTAAAGCAGAATGCCTAGCTGGAAAGGTGTCAAAAAACCCAATATGACTAGAAAAGAACCTCTCCTGCCCATACAGGCAGCACCAGTTAAGCATGATTAAGATGCATATGACAGGCTTGTATGTGCCTTATTTTAAAGTTACCTGCTTTGTTTTTTCATTCTGGAGACTTTTTTTTAGGGTCTGAAGGAAAAAATTAGCAGAGTTATATGGGCTAAGGAGACATGCAGAACACAGTGTACAGTAATTCAGTAATAAAACCCTGTGCCAGTGCTGCTGACTGGGCAGGCTGATGTCCAAGAGGATAGGAAGCTAGTTGAGAGCAGCAATCAAAATGGGAATCAATTGGTTAGGGAGGTGAGTGGAGCTAAGTAGTGTTAATGAACTTAAGAGTGGATATGTGTCTGTAATGTAAAAATAATGGACATACCTAATGAAAAGCAGACCTGCCTTGCCAAATGTTTTTCATCCTGTATCTTTTACCTGCCTCCATAGCTCCTCTAAATGAGGCTGTAGTTCAGTGGCCACTGCTCTGTGCTGTCATATGACAGACTGCCTTGAGCTTAGTTGTTTCTCACCTTTTAAACTAGCAGCCCTGATACAGGGGGCCCAGCCCCTCAGAGGGGGAGGGAGGCATCTTCAAATCTAAGGGCAGGAGCTGGAGCAGAGCTGTTTACATTGACATAGGACAAGGGGGAATGACTTCAAGCTGGAAAAAGGCAGGTTTAGATTAGATACTGATAGGAAATTCTTTACTACAGCGAGGCCCTGAACAGAGAGAAGTTGTGGAATATTCAAGCAGTCTGAATGAGGCTTTGGGTAACCTGGTGTGCTGCAAGGTGTTCCTACCTATGGCAGGAAGGTTGGAAGTAGATGATATTTAAGGGCCCTTGGAACAGAAACCATTTGATGGGAGAAGCTGTGTTAGTAGTATTTAAATTTTGCTTAGGCATTATGAACTTAAATGAAGGACTAGGTTAGCCATGTAGTGGTGAGGGCTGTTCGTAATGTTTGCTGGAGTTGCCTCTGTATGCATTAAAGAGGCTTCCAAAGGGCATTAGTTTGTACTGTGTGGGTTTTACTGCCTGGTTTCTATTCGTATGGTACATAGGTCCAAGATTTTTAAGGAGTGGAATGAATGCAGTCAAAACTTGTTTTAGGTGTAATGATAAAGTAAATGTGGCTGCAGGAGGCCCAGAAACCTATGGGATGGTATCCTGCCACCCTTAGTCATTCTGCAGTTTGTCAGAAGTATGAAGCCTTAGTAGAAGTCTTCTGGTCAAACTCCATTTGAAAACTGACAGGATTCCCCTTCCTAAGCCACCAGGGCAAAGAAGGGCACTTGTAAAACTTCAGCAGATGTTAAGTTGTTGGAATTCTTGGTGTCTACATTTAGAAATTTAATTGTTATACTTTTTCTGTGTCTTTGAGAAAAATGTTTTAATTTGCAATATTAATATCTTTGGATAATTCACTTTTTTGAGATTTCAGCGCTCAGCAAAGTGCCTAACTAAACTTTATTAACACAGTATGCAGGGCTGAGAACATAACCATCAATTTGATATTTTTTACCTAGCCTGGAATAAGAGGAAATAATGGAGAAAAATACTAATTGAGCTTCAGGTGGGATAGTGAATTTTTGTTTTAGTTTAAGAATAAAATTAGTCAACCAGTTGAAAATGACAGTGATAAAGTTTTAAACTACATGCCACAAATACGAGTTCCATCGAGGTTTTATCCTTTTTGACTCTTCAGTAGCATATATTCATAGTTTTTCTGGAATGTTAATATTTTGAATGTTCACCCCACTAACAAAACTTACTTCTAATACATAAGCTAAGGTTGAAGTGAAAGATGTAATTTATTTGAAATCTTTTAACTGTTACGAAATAATTAGCAATGAAGTACAGTGTGCCTGTGATACATTGAATAGTGCTGCAGAGTGGTCAGAATCAGGTATATTGGCTAGCTATAAAAATAAAACTATATTTCTATATGTAAAACAACCTAATAACTTTCAGCATTTATATATTGATTACTTTTAAGGGCTGTTCTGGCACTGAAGCAAAGCAAGGCTAAAGTGGAAGACATCTTGCAGGGTAAAGACCTTAATTTGACATTCCATGGGATTGGAGAGTTTAATAACCAAGTGCTATATGTGAAAATGTTGGAGGAAGACCAGAAAATGCTTAGCAGAATTGCAGGTAAATACAAAACCTCATTCTCCAGCACTTGTAATAAACCAGTTTGTAGAGTCCATCAGCTCCTGTCAGCACTGGCCCAAGCTGTTGTGCATGGCTGTGATGTGCTGCCTTTCCTCTCATCTCCTCTCTTTCTCACTTGTTAAATATGAAGCCAACAACTGGGTTCCTGCAGAACGATAGGTCTAAGATAAGGCTATCTGTTCTAGTATGGAACAAGTGAGATGCACAAACATTCATGTGAAGATCACACAGCAAGGCTAGGTTAACCTGCTCTGCAGCTGGAATCTCACAGGCCTGAGGTGTGCACAGTGTTCAAAGTGACACCTCTAGCTGAGGCTCTGCTCATTCAATAATATGAAAGCTTAAGCGTTGGCCCCAGCTGATTATACAAGAACTTCCTTTAAACTGGAATATGCATGAAATCATAAGTACCTCTGGGGTGGGAGGTGACAAAAATCAGTATTTGTCTGCATATGTGTGTATAGCACAGGCAATCAGTCTTTTGCCTCCACTGTAGAAGATGAAACAGAAGTGTAAGAATAGCTTGTGCTCTGCTCTAATTTCCCAAAGCACTGAAGGGTTTATGAGATGTTCCAGATTTTTGATCTGCTTACCTTCATCTGAGTAAAGTTTCAGAAGGGCTTGATACTCTCTTCTTTCTCCCTATCCACTTCTGCTTTTAGGACCTGCTTTAGCCTGCAATGCAGAACCTAATGTGTCCTGGGCTTTCATTGCAACAGAACAGAAATAATCAATATACATTATTTTTCCTTGCTATTTTCATACTATGCAAAAAGGAAGCATAGTTACACTAATGTTTCTCAAAGAGTCATGCAATACAAAGACGCTGTAAACTTCAAAGAATGATTCTTGGAGCAGTCTGTATTTCCTTTTGTTGATGCTGTTTCTGACCTCCTCCAGTTCTCAGCTTTGGTATTATAGTTCTTATTCTCCTGTTTATTTTACCTCTTAAGTAGTCAGTGATATAATTAGACAAATGTCTTTTATGAACAGCTTCTTTGCCTCAGCTATATAAAATTAGCCACTTGACTATCCATTACCTTATGCTTGACTCCGGCCTTGACTTCTCTTATTCTTCCATCCATCCCAAAGCTAATTTTGACTCAAAGCAGCTTTGCTTTTCTGGTGTTGTCCCTTATTATTAGGATTACAACCTCAATAAACTTGCCCATGCACAAACTGCTGCTTCTCAAGGCTTTAACTGGAAATAATCTTGACTGGAAGTTAAAGAAGGCAGATGATGCAATTTCCTGTAAGATCATATTTGGTACATGCCTGTCTACAATATATATATACAATTCAGTGCCATAGAAATAAGGGGTTGATTGATTCTTTTGATGACTGATTTGACTGTTTTGACAGCACTGCCTGGGCTCTTTGCTCACTCCTGAAAGATACAGAAATGAATACCTCACTCCTCATCCGTAAGTGACTGGTTTTCCCTGGACCCGTTGTCTTGCTTAACTGAGAATTTTGTTCCCAATGAGTCATACCATATGAGGTCCATCTTTATCATGCTATTTTATCACCATCAGAAGTGTTTGATTTGGTTCTGCAGAATGTATGCTATGATGCTCTTTAAATATCATCTTAGACCTGCATTAGCTCTAAAAGCCATTGCAATAGTGGGTGGAGATCCTTCATCCTCTCTGCCTGGATAACCTGCATCTTCAGGGTATAGGAGATCTAATATCTTGCTTCTGATCTGAACCCCTTAATTAGATAGAGGAGAAAAAATTTGATTGCAAGCCCTGGGAATATTCTACCAGTACTTGTGTTTTTAATGCAATATGATTGTTCACTGATTGCCTGAAATAATTCCTTGACTGGGAGACAAGCTGCCAGTTTTCAAGCTGTTAACTCTGTTAACAATGATTTTGCTATTCAGAGAGTTGTAGCTTCCAGTGTTGTTCTATTCTGCATAACTTCTGACCATTTCAAGAACTTAATGAGTCTGGGAATTATGCAAATATGTATCAAAGTCTATCCTTTCAATGACATCTGCAAAGAGATGGGGTTTTGTCTCCCCTCCTCTCAGCAAAGCAATTGAATTAATTGTTATACAATGAATAGGAATTTTTTTCCTTACTTTTTAGTCAATATTTTTGGTTGTCATGAGATAGGTGTGAATTTTAAATGCTGTTTTTTTGAGCAGCATGATGGGCCAATGATTTGGCTGGCAAAGGTCAAGACACTTGTCAGCTGTCTCTGCCTCATCATGCCCTTATTGATGGTTTGTCAGCAAGTTTGAGAGTTCTGCCTGCTCTAATGAAATCTTTTAGCCTCTGAAGTGTTCCTGACATTGGACAGGTGACTGGCACTCCATCTGCTTTTGGTACTGCGGACTTCTGTTTCAAAGTGGAGAGTTAACCTATCTCTAGGTCAATTAACTGCAATTAATTGGTAAATTCTGAGTGCTCCTGGGTTTGTCTTGCTGCTAGTGGCTTCAACCACTTTGAAGAAGAGATATTGCTTAGGATGTCTTGGGACTTTTGTAGGATATTTTTCATAGTGCTAGAGAAGACAGTGACTGGAAAATTGAGTGCCAGCCTGGCATGGACAGGGCACACTATCCAAGAGCCTTGTCACCATGCCTGCTTTTTAAAGATGATTTCTAGCCTTGACCTTTCTTCCATCATCTGCTTTTCTGATGAAAATCTGCTCATGGAAGTAAGACCTTCACCTTCTATTAAGAACCCCTTCCAGCTGTTCTGGAGGCTGGGTGGTAACCAAGAGGAGATGAAATTTTCAGACTTTCGTTCTTAGGTTAATATCTACCTGGTTCATTTTTATGCAGCTAGGGGAGCTTGCATGCTGGATGATGCATGGGGAAAGGCTTTTTGCTCTAGAAGGAGCTTAGACATTCTTCTGGTGTGTTTTTTCTCTGGGGCTTGCTGTGCTTTGACCAACTGACATGGGAACAGAGAGACTTAATATACAGAAATTCTTCATGTTAATGTGTTCTTTTTGACAAAGTACCAGGGGCACTTTAGGTTGTTTGATACCTAACCATAATCCCCTAGGACCATTTTCAGGTGCCCTAAGGTATTTGCAGCACTCACAGCAGACCTACAGCCAGGCTGTACCTTCTGCAGCAGCAGCTGGAGGCCAGGTGGACATCCTGTAGTGCACCTAAAAGGACATTAGATGCTTTTTTTGACAACTGGATCCTATTCCTTGTGTTTTCCAGATGGAAAATATAAAAAGCAGTTGCCTTGGCAAAGTGATCAGACAGCCCCAGCTGCTGTTCCCTCATAAATACTCTGAGAAGAAACATTTTAAACTATTAATTAGCTGAACTTCAAGCCAGAGACCTGGCCTTGATAAAAATGCATATGACAAACTAGTGAAGACACATGTAGTGAAATTTCCTGTCAGGTGGAAAAATGAAATGGAAGCAGGGGGATTTCAAAAAAGGCATTCATCTGCCATGTAATATGCTATTTTTACACAGTTTCAACATTGAACCTCCTTCTTTCAGTGCCTAAGCAATTAAGCAGTAACAGAAATGGAAGTCAAGATGGGGGGGATCTGACTGGAAGAGCTACAAATGCTGCAGGTTTCCATAAAATGCTGATTCCATCCCCCACTATTTTATCTGCTTTATACAATCAAGGTATAAAGATCTCTGTCAATAAGAAAAAGTTCTTATTTTTACTGGAGAAGTACTCCAGCCTTAGCCAAGGCTTTAATTGTAATTTTGGAATTACTTCTCATTGTTTTTTAAGTTCAACTATTGAGCAAAACATCTGTTTTTGCCAGGCTTGTAGGGATCTGCCTCATGTAAACCTTACCTTGCCATACTTGAGACTCTGCATCCCCAAAATCCATGAAAACCAAAAACAGTTTGGTTTGACTTGTCATTAAAATCCTTAGCTGAAAGGCCTGGAAGAATATAAATCCTGGAGTTCCATGTATTTTTTTCTATGAAGGGTAAAACGTTATGGATTTATAAATACGTGACTGAAGTTTTTAAGCCAGTGACATCATAAACACTTTGTATCACACTTGTATCTAGGGAAGGAGTATTATGTGTCATGTTCCCTCCTGAATGGCTTTAAGTGCTGTGGTGTTCTAGTAGTTTTGGGAACCTAGCCTTTTTTTTTTTTTTTTTTTTTTTTTTTTTTTTTTTTTTTTCTGGAAGCTCTTTGCTTCTTGCATTGCTGTTTGCAGTAACTGGGGAGAATCTGTTGTGCCACAGACCCCAGCTGTGGCCACTGGTGGTGGCTGCATCTTGCTCCTGGCAGGGCTGCCATGGACAGATGCTTTCTTGAGCTCACCATTTGGTAGGGGATTTATGAATTCAGAAGGAATTGTGTTGCAAACACAGAACTTTGGATCCAGTCTCAGGTTTACAGCTTATGGCTGTATGTTATGCAGAGCTTTGGTTTTGAGTACTTTTCTCAAATTTTTCTGTTGCCTGTGGTAGTGCAGCAACTGGTTACCTGGGGTGTGTTTTAACCATCTTGCTCAAGACAGGGATAGCGGCTTTTTGTCTAACCTCCCTGTAAGTATTTTTCTCTACCGCCTCTCTATTACTTATTCCTTTCTTATATTTTCTTTTTCCAGAAGCTGTGGAAGAATGTTTTATTGACATGAATCTCGACATTTCAGGAAGTAAGGACTTCAAACCACATCTGACTTTCCTGAAGCTCTCTAAAGCATCAAGGTTGAGAAGAAGGGTAAGTAACTGGATGTAAGAGTATTTTTCCTGGGATCAGTTCTAGTGATTACTTTTCCTTCAATGAGATCCTTGGGATCTAAGCAATAATCATTGCAACTGGAGAACAACATAACTTCTCTTATTTAACAAAGCTTGTATATAGGCTGCTCAACATATGTGTTTGTTCATATCTGACTGGAAGAAATGAGGTCTGTTGTTAATAATCTGTAAGGCACTCTTGTAGAGTACAGATTGCTTCCCTTCCATTGTGGCTGGTCAAATCTGCACAAAAACAATGTCAAGCTGTTTCCATAGGGCAGGATGGCTTCTGAGCAATATTTGTCTTCTGACTAATATTTACCTCAGAACAAGATTAATGTCATGTTGGAAGTCAGGCTGGTGCTTTGGTTTATACTAGAAGTGTGTGATGTGCTTTTCTAACCTTTCCTGCAGCATTGAATGGGATTTATCACAAACAATTAAAGTAAAAAACAACTCTGATTAGATTGCTCATTTCCCAGTGGAATACTGTCCTGCTTGTTTCCAGGAATAATACTTGTATTTATGAGGTCAATATATTGCAAACCTGAAACACTAGAGGAGCATGCAGAAAGGAAAACAAAAAAAGCTATAATAGCTGAAGAAAATGACCTTGTTCAAGTACTTTGTATTGACTTGATATTAGCCTTTTGTACACATGATAAAATCAAAGTTGGCTAGGACTGATAGTTCTGTGCTGGAGGCTCTTTCTTTTATACTGCCTATAGGGATTTTCATGAGCAGAGGCATCTGCAAAGTTTAATGCAAAAGAAACCATACAGTAGGCATGTAGGAATTACTGTTGACTCTTGTCTGGAGTATTTTCACACTTCCTCTTACTATGAAATTTAAAATTAAAAAATAGAATTGTAATTTCCTGCATGCTCTCCTCTTTTGATCTCTAGCACTAAATATAGCCTAATCTCTCATAACATGATTTATGTATGCTGTCTCATTGCGTACATATATATATAAATATAAATATAAATATGCAAGTATATAGGTCTTTGAATGTTAGAATATCAAATGGTATGCCCAGAAGTGGATGCAGTGTTCCTGGTGTGGCCTCACCAGTGCTGAGCAGAGGGGAATTATCTCTGTCAATATGCTGGCAACATTCCTCCTAACACAGCCCAGGACACCACTGGCTGCCTTTGTTGCAAGGATACACCACTGGCTCATGGTCAGCCTGGTGTCCACCAGAACCTCTAGGTCCTTTTTCTGCAAAACTTCTTCACAGTCAGCTGTCAGCCTGTACTCATGCCTGGTTCATTCCTCCCCTGTGGCTGACCTCTGTGCTTTTGCTCAGCCTCGTGAAATTCCTGTCAGTCCATTTCTCCAGGCCACTGAGATACCTCTGGCTGGCAGTACCCTCCAGTGATCAGGCACTTCTCCCAGCTTGTTATTAGTGGTGTTGCTGAGGGTGCACTCTGCCCCAATATCTGGATGATTAATGAAGATGCTAAACAGTTCTGGACCCAGTACTGGCCCCTTGTATACATCTCTAGTTACCAGCCTCCAAGTAGACTTTGTGCCACCAATCACTGCCATAGGGAACTGGCTGTTCAGCCAATTTTCAATCCACCTCACTGTTCAGCCAGCTAATAATTCATCAGCTTTCTCTATGGAGATCTCATAGGAAACAGTATCAAAAATTTCCTGGACTTCAGCTAGACAAAATTCAATGCTCTTCCCTTGTTTACAAAGCATTACTTGTTTCTGTGCAAATTTGTTTTCACAATGAAAATATTGCTCCTAAGATATTATTTTACAGACTAGGGCTGTGAAACTGGAGTAGGGCCATATATTGAGTTGATTATTGGGGGCATATGAACTCTGTAAGTCCCTGTACAAATCTCCCTGAGGTTAGTAAGGCTCAACCCTGGACATAAGACATAAACTCGAAGACCACTTACTGCATTTCTTTCAAAATACAGGACAAATAAAAAGGAAACTGATTACTTTTATCCCATTCCTAAACAGTGCAGAAGAGAAATCAGCCTTCCTAAACACTAGAAGATGCCAAAGTATGAATAAGACAAAATATCACTTAAGTTATTATGATGCCATCTACTGGCTGTAATTACTTTCTTTATACCATAAATAACTGTTTCCTCGTAGAAAGTGTGCTGTTTAAGTATTTCACACAGTTGAAGTGCTTCTTAAATGAAGCTTAAGAGGTAATTGCTAAGGCAGTTTATATTTTATATCTCAAGCACATTTGTTAATGAGAGGTATGTGATGATACTGGTGATGTAGCTGCAGACCTTGTTCTCATTTGTGGGGAAAGAGCAGCTGGTTCTCTTTAAAACTGATACAGCTGTACACCTTCACCTTGAGAAGCTGTGCATCTTTGGCTTTAGTTGTGTGTCTAAATATCTCAAGAGGCTGGAGAGATCTTGGATTGTGTGCTTTTTATTCTGAATAGCTACCGAAGGAGCAGTATGTGCTGTTTGAAGATCAGGTTCAAAATGGGCAGTGTGACCCTGGCATAAATAAAAAATATGGGCTCTTCAGGTGTTTTGATCTCTACCTTTCCAATGAGCCAAAAGGAAACAATTCACCTCTTAAGAGAATCCACTTCATTACTTGTAGTAAGAGCCTTCTCCAGCACGCAGGCAGCACAGTGTGGGCTGTTAGTCTTTAGTGCTGGGCACTGCCTGCTCTCACCTCTGCCAGGGCAAAGTGGTGGATCAAGTGCCTCTGTGCTAAAGTGGAAAATGTTTGCTTGTTCCCTTTTATGCTGTTATAAGTAGATTCACTTGGTGCAGGTGTAGAAATAGCTGTGGACCACCCTGGGTTGTGAGAGAGTATGTTCTTTAACAAATATTAACAAGTCACATACTTGTATTAAAATATTGGGTGTTTTTTAATGGAAGGGCAGTCCTAATCCTGCCCTCTTCTGGCTGCTTGATAAGTTATCGTCAATGATGTGACCTTACTCAGGTTTCCATTATCCTCCTGGATTACCCAGAAGACAGCCCATGTGCGGTGTGTCTCTGCATTTCAGCAGAACTTGAACCTTGTGGCATTTGGGTGACAGCAGCTCCTGGCTCCTGAGCAGCCTGCCTCTGACTGATACATGGGCGTCTCTGGGGCACAGAAAAAGTGTGCTGTTGGTTTATTTAAACTTTCAAGTGTTTTAGTCACCTCAGGCAGCAGTGCCTGATGGTTTGATGTATTTGGTTATGAAGCTATTTATATCTGCTTCTACCCAGGTGACACTGGCTGTTCTGGCTGTCCTCCCACAATCTCCATGCTGTGAACTGTACATATCCACCTGCTAATAAGTCTGTCATTATGGGGAAGAAATCTTGTAAAAAATGCTCTTTTTTTTTTCTTCCCCTGGTGTTTGGGAGCAGGTCTGAACAAACTGATTGAGAGTTCTTTGAGGCAATGTGCTGCAAGGAGCTCCTTGGAGCCTTGTTAGCTCACATACTCATTAGGTTAGGAGAGGTGGAGACTATTCTCTGTTTAATGATTCATCTGTCCTTCATTACATCTCCATATGTGCCCCTAGCATATGTAGTTTGCTATAGGCTAAATGCTTTGTGGGAGCCCCTTTTATAAATTGGCAGCCTGTTTCTGTCTGAATTAAAGGCCTGGGAGCCATGGAATTGTTGGGTTTCTCTTCCATCCCCAGTGACACCTGTACAGGGCAGCTAGTGCTGCTGTGCACAAACTTGTTGAGGGGGAGAGGAGCAAAGAAATCACTCTGTGGAGCTGCTGATTTTTGGTCTTGACAGTCATATGATTTCTAAGCATGTGCTTTGATATGGCAATAGAAATTACTTTCCTTAGCCAACTTGGTGTCTAAGGAAAGTCACTTCTATTGCCATATCAAAGCACATGCTTTCTTAGGCTGAAAAGAAGTGTCAGTGTTTAAAAACACATCTCTAGGAGTGTACCCTTTCAGTTGTGTGTCGACTGTTGTAGCATTTGGCAATTGAGGTACTGACAGTGCTTGGTAGCTATCTAAGAGCTGCTGAGGTTTTCTTTTTCCTTTCTGCCTTGCTGGAATGTTTTCCCAGTTAGTCACAGAGTTAAATTTCTTTTGAGTATTTTTTCACAGGGATGAAGGTACATGAACTCTATTTCTAACCTGTCTTCAGCAAACATTTTAATTACTGTTGTGGAGAGTGAGCACCATGGAGAAGGGTTTACTTTTCAGTCTGTTAAGACAGCTTTAAGATGAAATTGAGTAAGGTGAACTCTAGCTGAAATCAAGCAATCCCTCCTAAAGGCAATTCAGAATAATTATATATGGTAGCTGTGAACTTCCCTGAAGTATCTAAAATTAGGTGGTTGCATTTAAATAACAGTAGGTTAAATTGATCTGATTTTGTATATTTGGCATGTTTTTATTCTTGAGGAGGGTAGAGTAGATGGAGGATTGGGCAAAAGCCAAGCTTCCCTTAACTTTAATTTGTAATGGCTGGCTTTTCTCGGTATCAACTTAAATACTACCACATGAAGTTGATGCTATTATCCTAATCAGGGGTGAGGTGGGCAGGGTGGTGTTTTCTTTGCTGGGTTTTGTTAAGATAATACTGACACAGCTTCCTAAAGTGCATGAGTATTTGTGCACCTATATTATACACATAATGTCATCTTGCTCTTTGAATAAATAGGGCTTCAGGAAAATTTGTGCACACCTGTATAAGGAATATGAAGACAGCCCCTTTGGCACAGAGCTCTTTGGTCGGATTGATCTCTGTGCCATGCACAAGAAGAAGCAGGAATCTGGTTATTATTACTGTGAGTGCTCAATCATTGTGGGCTCCAGTAGTAGGGAAGAGAGTAAAGAGCAAGAAATGCAGACAGAAGATGTGGGAGAAGTAAGCAGTGAAGACCTCCCAAAAAATGTGGCAAAGGCTGAAATAGGAGAAGCTACTGCAAGCTGTAAGCTTGCCTCAACAGCAGTAGCTGATGATAAACCATCTGAAAATGCTGCTGAAGCCTCAATTGCAACTAAAGAAA